TCTGGAAGATAAACTGAAGCATCACTGAGTCTCAAAGAGAGGCAAGTGTGCCAGGAAAAGCTGGTATCAGAATGGTAGTACAGGCCTAAATTTGGATTAAATGTGTTGTGAAACTGAGCCTAAACTATGTATTGCTAGGGAAATTGATAGTCCTGCTCTCCTGCCTGCTCTGTCAAGTAGATATGCTGGATGAAATGATTTGGCTAATTGACCAAAAACAGTGGCAAAGGAAGTATGTGTCTGTGGTTTCAGTCTCACCAAAAAGAGGATTAAATTCATTAGGTGGCTACAAAACCCCATGAAAGTCAGAAGGCAAAGATGCACGTCCTGGGACAGTAATCCCAGACTACAAAACACATCGCAGTGTAAGAAACTTAGCTAGCAGCTGTTTTAACAGAAATAGTTGCACTTACTCTCCTTCCAGAAGACAGCATCACTAATTTCAACTAGGTGCTACAACCTGTCATAGAGCAGGCACTAATGAATCTGGGCCCTGGACAGTGGCATCATCTAACAGCTACTGCCAGACAGGATGTAGGGCTGGGTGAACCCAGCTCAGCAATGCATCACTTACACCTAGGTACACTAGTGTTTTTGTTACTTTACATTCAGCAAGTTACTTTCCTAAACAAATCCTGAAATACTGGGTTTAAGCTCCACATTAGTCAAGCTCTCAAGAACTACCAGTTGAATTTGATACAGCCACATGAGAGAGATTGATCTTGTATCTGAAGTGATCTCCCAGTACATTAATTTTTGGCTCTGGTGGGCAAGCTTGATATGTGTTGCTAATACAAAGCACTGAACTTAAGGAAAAAGAGGTTTCGTATTTACCCTTGAGAAAACAGCAGGTAAATACAGCTGTTAAGATATAAATCTAAAACAAAAGACCTAAAAACCAGCTTATCACATACACATTATAAAAGACTTCACAAAATAATTCAGGTATTGAAATGTGGACATTCATGTAACAATATGCCTTAACCAGATGTTCAAACTTTGTCACTATGTAAAGAGCCACACCACATCCACCCCTTACAGCTAAGCTCCTCCCCAGCAGTATGTGCACATGGCCACAACTTGTTTCTAGTATTCAAAAATCTCAGCTGCAAGTGAACTGCCCAGGAAATAGCAGAATTGCTATGGGGGAAAAAAGGTAAACTGTTGTAGGAAGTGAAGTTCAGCCTGGGTTTGGTTTTTTCAGATGTGAAGGAGGAATCTGAAGCCACTTCTTCCACAGAATGAGAATCATAGAATGGTTTGGGTTGGAAAGGACCTTAAGATCATCTACTTCCAACCCCCCTGCCATGAGCAGGGACACCACACACTAAACTATATTGCCCAAGGCCCTGTCCAGCCTGGCCTTAAACACTGCCAGGGATGGAGCATTCACAACTTCCTTGGGCAACCCATTCCAGTGCCTCACCACCCTCACTGTGAAGAACTTCTTCCTTAGATCTAACCTAAACTTCCCCTGTTTCAGTTTAAAGCCATTATCCCTTGTCCTACCACTACAGTCCCTAACGAAGAGTCCCTCCCCAGCATCAGACACTGGAAGGCTGCTATGAGGTCTCCACGCAGTCTTCCCTTCTCCAGGCTGAACAGCCCCAACTTTCTCAGCCTGTTATCATACGGGAGGTGCTCCAGTCCTCTTATCATCCTCGTCTCTCGCATGTAAATCAATTTCTTTTTGCAGAGAATGCAGCAGGTTTAAGCAGGTTTCTTTTTCTGTCACTTCTTTTAGCCCACATTCAAGTTTGATGGTATTTCCCTGTCCCCACAACTCCCAAATACCACAGACTAATAGGAATTAACCTTTTTAAATATTACAATTTCTTTGACATATGGCAACTGTAGACGCTAAGAATCTTTAAGACTTAAAACCCAAAGTTTAAGAGTCTTGCAAGACTTTAAACAGTGCTTGCAAAACTGGCTGAACAACAACATTTAGGACACCCAAGAACAATACAATGTTTTAACGGATTGCCATCCTGCAGGTCAGCTAACACCCCTTGTGACTTATTTCCTCACCAGACCAGGAGAGTTAAAATGACAAGCTGCAATACCTCTTTGGTAAACACCTGCAGACTTCAGATTACAGGATGATTTTCTTTCTAGCTGGTGCCCAGACCCTCATGTGCAGGCAGCTGACAGGGCCACCAGCAGCTACTGATCACTCCAAAGAGCATGGTGGATATGCGGCAACATGTGAAATGGGAGAACTGCTTTGACCAAAACACAATTCTTCAGTTATCTTTAAACCACATCACTGCACGTAAATGGATCAGCACTTTTTTGTCTGCCCTTCTTCATCCCAAGGAGCAGGAACCTGTAATCCTGAAGTGACCAAAGGGAGTGCCAGCATTACAACAGCAGCAGCTTAAAACTGAACTCTAAGTAACATGCTGTATCCTCCCTTCTCTACCCATCCCCATGTGCCCCAACGTGGATTCTCCAGTGCCATGTAGACCTCCTGTCCCTCCAATACTTTTCAAAGTGTTTTTTGTAGGAATGCTATTACACAAGGAAAAAAGTTGATTGAACAGGAACTGTAGATGGTCTTGTTCCTCCTCCTCTGCAGATATAGTAACATCAATCCCCACCTTTTCATTTTGCTCTTTCTGTATTGCAGAGCCTGTCTCTGTGAGACTCCCAGGTGCAAGTGAGCTCTAAACTCTGGATGAATCCTGCCAGCAATACTTAAGACTTTGCTGGAAAAAAATACACAAATAACTAAAATAACAAATAAACCAAATAACTAAACTCACAGCATTAATAAATAAATGTAAAAAAATCAACATCTTTTGTACTCCCCTTCCTCCATTAAAATTAGACAAGAACTACAATATTCATCCAAAATTGGACTGACACGTGACCATTTCTTTTTTAAAAAGGAGTTCATAATGAAAGCTGATGGTTTAATTGTTCCTATTTTCATGCTGCTGCACAGTAAAGACAAAAGGATAGAGTACTCAGGGGAGGGGGTGAGAATGGAGATTAGGTAATTTGTTCAGTAAAACAGTGGAAAAGCCGGAAGGACGAAAATCCATCATACTTGGGGGAAAAAAACCAGAGGAGCAGAAGTGTTATCCTAAGATTCCTCAGGAATACAACCAAGACAATACCCAGTATCAATACAGATTGATATCACTAATTGATATTATCAATATAGATTGGCATCACTAACAGCATTCACATAGCATCTCTAGGACCACAGCCATTACCACCTGCACTCTCAGAGAGGCATAGTTTTTCCCTAAGCTGCAGGTATAGCATTGCACACTTAAAATGTTGTCAACTGCATAGATTCCTAATCCCCTCATTTTACACTATGAGTTATTCTGCCTTCAACAGTTTAACTGCATTGTCAGTTGGAACTGACTGGACTATTCCTCACCCTGGTTCTCTCAAGAGCTCAGAATTTCGTTTGACTACCAAAATCTCTAGATTTGGGTCTGTATATACCTAAGAAACAAAAAATTCAGTTCCCCATGAAAACTTCAATTCCACATTATTAAACAAGCAAACAAATCAGCCTAATTATCTTTTTGTGTAAGTGACTGCAGTACTGTTGACTGATGCGTGAAACAACTCTGAAGTACAGGACAAAACAAGTAGTTATTATGGTAAAATGCATTTACAGCAAGTTTAAGAGAGTTGTTACCAAGCAGACAGAAGTGACATCTCAAACCAGTTTAGGCCTCAGTTGCTCACCTTTTGCATTCCTGTTGTTCTGGATGCTCCAAGTCTCCCTTAATTTTTAGTTGATAGCCATGAACTCCTTGGCATCAAGAAGTGTGTGATCGCATTTTGTCAAGCATCAGTTTTCCCTGTGACAAGTTACTCCATTTAAATAGACTTTACTCTGCACAAGCCTGGCAGACAGCATTCATTACTAGAGTGAGCAAGTTATGAATAATGTGATATATTCTGTAGTTTTTGGCTTTCTGTTCAAGATACCAAAGCACACAACATATCTCTATTAATCCTCTTTGGAAATCTTCAGACAAATTCACTCGTGTTTAGAGCTCACTCAGAACCTCTTGAAAGAAGGTAGCAGCAAATAAGCTCCGTAGGGGTCTTAGCACAGAGGTGGAATCTGTTCACTGCCTACTTATTTTCTTCTATGTAAATCATTTCATCATCTGCAAGAGCTATCAAAAGTACGCCACATAACTCATTTCCATCAGAATCTTTAACCAAGTTTCAGGTGAAAAATTTAAATCAAGTTTTTACAGAACAATTTCAACAGTAGATTTCTTCACAGGAACTTTCATCAGCAATTGTGGGGGGATATAAAGAAAACTCAGTTAAGTTTCAAACATGTACTCCTGTCTAAGTACTGCTTTTATGAAGTGCTACAACTAAACAAACGGTAGAAAAGTGTCTTTCAGATGGAGTGTACAAACTGAAACTAATCACATATGGACTAAGCTCTTAAACATGCTAGGGGTATGACTGAAACAGGGAGGTAGTCAACCTAAAAGTGAACACCTACAAACTGAGAAACCAGGTAAGAGTGCAAAAGGGTTCAAAAAAGAAAGGGGGGGGGAGGAACCCCACCGTGACCAAACCCCAAAACACACCAAAAACCCCAAACCACTACACCCCACCACTTACACCATACCAATAAACTATGAAAATCAGAAATGCTTTCAAATTCAGCATTAAGGCAGGTAAGAAAGGAACCCGAACAGCAACAAAACTGCTTTTTCTTAGCACTGCGGCTTGGAGAGCTCAGTCCAGCTCCAGATTCTATCCAGTATTATACTCATCAAACTTGCTTTCACACGGAGCAGACAGATTTTACACTTTTAAGAGAAAACAACCCTCACCTACAGACTACTTCAGCCAAGGTAGTATCCCCAGTGTTTCCCACACCTGCTCCAAGTATTTAGGCCACATATTGAAGAGGAAAAAAAGCAGAAGGGAAGGTGGATTATTTTAAAAATCAAGTATAACCCACATGTGGTATTTAAAAATCAAGACTAAAAGCAGGCATCATTTAATGTATTTTAATAGCAAACTTACAGGAACAGCACAGAAGACAGACAACATTAAAAACATGTACTTGCATGTAGGACAACTCAGTTAGAAAAGTATAGTGAATGGATGGAATCTACTGTATGATAAAAATGCTACAAACACCATTTAGTTGCCGTTGGTAAGAAATTTACTTGTTTAAAAAAATCCAAATGCTGGCATTGTCCAGAAAAATTTGACAGGTTTATTTATACTTATTCATTTTTTTTTTATAAAGTTGAATTGTTGAAACTTGTTCACCCAAACATTTTTTTTTTTGACCACATTGATGTTTTACGTCCCCTCGTTTATATTAAAAATCCACACACAAATGAAAATGGAAAAAAACTTGCCAATACCCAATTCTGTCCCCGATTTTTCCATTTGCAACCATATGCTTAGGTACCTTTTAACCCCATGGAAAAAATATCTAACGTTCATTACTACCAATAACAGGAAGAAGATTTTGCTTCGAGAATGACAAACCCATCGTGGTGAAGTTTAGGCACGCTCCCCACGTATGCGGCGTGCTAGCTGGATATCTTTTGGCATGATTGTGACACGTTTGGCATGGATAGCACACAGGTTGGTATCTTCAAACAGGCCAACCAAGTAGGCTTCACTTGCCTCCTAGTGTAGAAGAAAAGAGTTAAGAACACGGTCACTCTCTGAACACAAGCAAAAAGTAGTATTTAAAGTACAGTATAATACAGCATTAAGTTTAGGCTTCTCCCTTTATTACTCACAAACATCAGAAGTTCTAGCTTCTCAAAAAGTTAAAGCCTCTGTTTTCTTATATACCATCAAATAACATTGTATGTCAAAGTTGCCTACTACTGCCATTTGCTGCAGACATCCTCCAGAACACAAATGGACCACCATTCTGACAGGACTCTCACAAGACAAAGGGTTAACTTATCAAAGGCTAGTTTAGGAGGTTCTCTTTATCAAGGCTGAGCTACACTATTTGGGCAACTTGATTACTGCCTCTTCCAGAGTAAAAGCGATTGAGCATCAGGTAAAACTGGCAGATGCTAAGGAAAAAGAGCAGCAGGATTCCTTCACAACAGTTTGGGCACACAGCTCCTTGCAATAGGATACTGAAGAGGCGACTTCATTCAGAAGTCAAAAATTAGCAGGAAAAAAAAAAAGTAGTAAGAATTCATAGAAATAAGAGAACAACTCCTTCAGCATCACCAAAAACAAGGCAGCAATCAGAGCATTACCATTAGACACTTGCCCCACTCCTATACTTTCTGCTTGCCTAAGCATCTCTTGTCTATGTGGGGCACGCAGCACCGGCCCCCACCACAGAAGGTTCTCACTTCACATCTGTCAGAATGATGGGATCAACACCCAGGAGCACAAAGCCCTATCCTGGGAACACCCCAACCCCGACCACAGTACTTTTTCCCTTTTACTGAAAAACTGCAGAAAGGATTCTGGGTTGGACAGATGCTCAGTTGGACTCAATTATTCTTCTGGCTCATAGTAAGTTAGCTGCTATAGAGCCCAGCATAACGATGGTAACTGTTTACACACGTTCGGGTTGACAGAGAATTCTAATACCTAACAATCTCCTAGGAAGCATCCTGGCATGCCAGCATCAGACCAGCACAGAGACCAGGACACAGGACACAGCTGGGGTGAAAAGGCAGGAACAATGGGGCTTGCTTACAGAAAGGAGGTTGAGGTCCTGCTTTCTAGAATACATGCAAGAGAACAGCTTACATGAACCATTTCATCACCAGGAACTGCAAAAATCAACTTATAAGGTTCAAAGTTTGTGTTTAAAAACACAGATTATCTAATGTGAAGAAAGAAAAACATTTACTACAGCAGATGAGGACTACGGTGTTAGTAAGACATTCCATATGCAGTAGGATATGATACCCCAACACAGTTTTACTAAATCATTACATGGAAAGTTAGGACACTTCACCAAATAAGCCATGCTGGCATGATCAACACTATGCTACTAAAGGGGTTAAGCTTTTTACCCCCTTTTCAAATATGCAAGCAGGAAGCACCAGGAATAGTATGTGAACAAGTTCTATACCAACAACTCCTTAATGCAAAGCCACGAATGTTCAAACCAGCCTTCTGAAAATGTATGAACCACTGACTCAGTCTTAATAATCAGTTCCTGATAAAAAGACACATAGGTAAACCTCAGGATTTAAGAGCCACCACATTCACTCACAGCAGTGAAGACAGAACTAAAAGCAAAGACACCTTTTAAACTTAAATATGTGCTGAAGTTTACAGGACGTCACGGCACATCCTGGCCCTTTATCAAGTGGAAGTTCTTTATCACAAAAGGACCACGTTGCCTGGCTCTAGTTATAGATATTCTGTAACTACAGAGAGGTTCTGGAACAATCTTTCAACAGCTATAAGAACAGTAAAGACACATCTTTAATTGGGATTGTCTTTCTATCATGAGGGGGAAACGTTCTTATGATAAGAACAGAGTCCTGGAGGTGACCTCACTCAGATGCAGGAATTTGGGCTAGAAAGAACAACTGATATTTCACCCTCAACATACTCTAAATAAGTTATTTAACCAAGGTATTTTTTACAAGTGTTTAGCATCAACTGCATATACAAAGCACTTATTTCCCTAACATTCCTGTGCAACCCTATACTCCGACTAAACCTCTAACACAGCGCTATACCAGCTACTATAAAGAAAATTAACTCTATCCCAGCCAAAACCAGGACACTGCGCTTGGATGGGGCTTATCCAGCTGTTTTTCTTTAAAGAGCATTTGAGGTTATCAAGACCTCCATTTGGACACAGTTGAACAAGCTTTGCAGATGCTTTCCTCTGAGGCTGCCCAGCTTTTGAAGGCAAAGCCTCTAACCAAGCTCAAGGAGAGAGGAAACAGATTTATCTTAAGTGTCTTAATAGGATGTGCTGTTTTGGCAAGTGTGACTACTTGAGGGGTGGGGTCTATTAAAAAAAGCAACAACAAAAAAAACCCAAACAACTCACAAATAAACACACACATTCACCCCTCAAAAAAAATCGCCACCCCCACAAAATACCCAAAGACCCCC